GAATAAGATGCAATATGCAGCATTCCATCATCAAAATAACTGAATAAAAAATGATTACCTCAAAATATTCATCAGATATAAGTGTCATACGATGAACATATGGAATTCGTGCATTAAAATCAATGTTTGGATCCGTTAGTCCATTGCCAATAATGTATCCCTGTTTCAATTTCAAAAATACTCCACCATTAACATAAAATATGTATTTTATTATATTGGTAAATAAATAAGAAAAAATCCGCATATTTGTGTGAGCTAATCAATACTTGGAAGGACATTTGTGGCTGAAGTCTTGCTTTGTTTCCTACATTATAGTCAAGACTAACAACTTAATCAAGCTTGACAGATGGATAAAAAAAAATTCAAAACAGAATCTTGTAAGTCTCCTTTTTCATTTTTCATATATACTACCTCGTAATATTTCCATGGCAACCAGGGGAACAAGTTTGCCTCCATAGGATTCACCCGAAATATATAGACGATTTTTGATAAATATAGGATGATTCAATAACCACTGCATTGCATTATTATCAATATATTGTTAGCTCACTAACCCAAAAAATTGGGGAGTGCATATATGTGTGAATGTGTAAGGACTACTAGTAAGTTCCACATAAAACTTCATTTATATTGCCTCGATTTTCACCACAGAATAAAATATCTAGGATAAGTAATGTCAACCTACCTTCCTAAGAAATGTGAAAATGTCTTTTGCTGATTTGATGTCTGAGGAAGAGTAACCTTGTGAAGTGTTTGCATATGAAAATCCGGTACCAACGGGCGCATCAATGAATATAATATTGGCAACCTGAAAATTAATAATCATATTATAAAGGTAGAAAGTTATGCAAGACATACATTTATGACTTGAAAAACGCATGGAAAAAGAGATTTTTTCTTACCTTGGTCCACGAATATGGATTTAGGATAATAGATGGTAAGCTTCCATCAAAAGTTTCAACACCAAACCTACATGGACCTGCACACAAGCTCACCAATTGGTATGAGAATAGTAGAAATTATATTTTTGAAGTATTATTTGAGGTATCAAAAAAAATAGCATTCAGTTTTAAAGGGCTATAAACGAAAAAAAAAAGTTCAAAATATAACTTTTACAAGTAAATTAAAGAAAATTACACAAAGGGGTAAAACTGTAAAAGTGAGTTGGATTATGGAAAATTTCTCTTTTCAATATCTATTTGAGAAAAATATAACCTAGCCAAGCCCGAGCCTAGATCCAAAATCGATATGCAAAAGTTCCATTTTTTGCACCCATCAAGGCCGGCCATGGATTCAAATTTGTTTATGGCTCTTAGGATTGCATGAGAATTCTTCAACACTCGTTTAGCTATTTTAATTATTTAATTTTATTGTCTATAAATACTTTAAAATTTTATTACTTATAATTCTAACCCGGATTGGAGCCTATAAATAGAATTCACTTATAAGAAAAAGTTTATGTTAAAGTAAAAAAATTCACTTATAAGCATATTGTAACTTGAAAATTCACCTTTAAGTAAAGATCACTTATAAGTTAAATAGAAATAAAAGAATACATATAATTTAAAAAACTATAAGCAAAAAATAACTTATAAGCAAATTTAATTATAAGTCAAAAATACTTATGTGTAAAAAATCATTTATAGGTACTTTTACTGTAGGTAAGAAAAATAATTTTTTAATTATTTTTTATTTTAAATATGTTTTTCTAATACGGTGTAGCACCAAGTGTTGTATTAGAACAATACATCATAATTCATGTTAATCTTATCCTCCCTAATTGTGTTATCCCAAATTGTATCTCGTCTAATCCAATATAGTGTACCAAATGTGCTCTACTAGTTTTCTTTGAGTTCATAGGAAAGTTGTCAAGTAAATCCATCTAAAAAACCATCAAATCACGAAACACAAACTCTAGGCTCCAACATTTTTCTCACTCACTTAAATGCTTCTTGAAGGAACATCGGAGTGCGCGCGCCCACACACATATATAAGGCGAAATTTGAGCTCTGGGTCACATTTTTGGAAAAATATTGTTTTAACTAGTGAATTGAATATGTGGTTAAAAAATGAGGAAAATTTTTGAATTGTATAATATTTTATTGTGTAAATATGTGGTTAAAAGTGAGTATGTATAAAAAAAAATTTGAAAGAATGAGGAACAACTAGGGCCTGAATTTCTTGTTTCAGAAGATGCCATTTCATTTATGAAACATGACATATACATCCTCAAATTAGTGTATAAATGCATATCAACTTAAAAACTCAGTATTTAGAATTTCCAAAATTTCATTATCCCTTTCTCGATTTTAGTGATGGCAATGGGGAGGGTTCGGGGCGGGTGCGGAGCGTGGACTTGCCCCCGTTTCCTGCCCCTTTTTTTTTAAATTTTTAGTTAAAAAACAAATTCAAAATTTTAAAATTCAA